CCGTGGAAACCATCGTGCGGCTGCAGGAACCACAGGGCGGCCAGCGTCGGCCACCGCTTTCGGAACCGAGTACAGAACTGTCCCAGCCTGGTCCCAGGTGCACAGACGGCACAGCCAGGAACCTCACCGTCTCCGCCAACCCCGCCCGTCCGACTCACAATCAGGGCCCAATAGCTCCGTGTTCTTGGCCAGAAAGGACTCGCCTCAGCCAAGCCTGAGGGACTGAGGGCGGGCACACAGGAATCAGAGGGACACGTGCCCTGGGAGCAGACCCTGGATGCCATCTGCAGGGGCCGCGGGGACACAGGAGGACGGGGGGGAGGGGCATGGGAGCCGGTGTGAGTGCCCGCCTCGCTGATTATTTGTATCAATGTCTGATGTGTGAGACGGATGGACCAGCACAGAGGGTGAAGATCTAACATATAAAACATAGCTATGATATTTATGAAAAGACACGATACTAGCCCGGCCGGTGTGGCTCAGTGGTTGAGCAACGACCTGTGAACCAGGAGGTGAGGGTTCGATTCCTGATCAGGGCACATGCTGGGGTTGTGGGCTCCATCCCCTGTAGGGGGTGTGCAGGAGGCAACCTTTTAGAATTTTAGGATCAAGGGCAGAGTTCTCTCTCTCTCTCTCTCTCTCTCTCTCTCTGTCTCTCTCTCTCTCGCAGAGAAGGCCAGGAACACACCGGAAAGAACAGTCGCAGCCCCGAGTTCAGTTTATGTCTGGTTGCTTTCCCTTCTAGTCTTTATTGTTCCAGAGCAGCGGTTCTCAACCTTTCTAACGCCGCGACCCTTTAATACAGTTCCTCATGTGGTGGTGACCCCCAACCATAACATTATTTTCGTTGCTACTTCGTAACTGTAATGTTGCTACTGTTATCAATCGTCATGGTAAATATCTGATAGGCAGGATGTATTTTCATTGTTACAAATTGAACATAATTAAAGCAAAGTGATTAATCACAAAACAATATGTAATTATATATGTGTTTTCCGATGGTCTTAGGCGACCCCTGTGAAAGGGTCGTTGGACCCCCAAAGGGGTCGCGACCCACAGGTTGAGAACGGCTGTTTTAGAGGCTTTTAGGACAAATGTAAAATTTATTTCCTTTCCTTTTTTTTTTTTAATCTTCCCCTGAGGACATTTTCCCATTGATTTCTAGAGAGAGTGGAAGGGAGGGAGGGAGACAGAAACATCAATGTGAGAGACACATGGATTGGCTGCCTCCTGCATGGGATGGAGCCTGTAACCAAGGCACATGACCTTGACCGGAATCGAACCAGGGACCCCTCCGTCCGTAGTCCGACGCTCCAATCACCGAGCCACACCGGGTCGGGCTGAAATTTCTTAAACACGTGAAGCAGCCCAGACACTTGCCCTGTGACGGTGAGGGTCGCCCTCTACACTCCGGTTCTCCTCCCACCTTCCCTCTGCACCAATGTCAACCAGGGGCGGGTTCCCCTCGGCCTCGAGCGAGGCCCCCCCTACAGCCGGGGCTTCCTCATCTGTAAGAGAAAGAATCGGATCCTCACGAGGAGGCCGAGGTCTGAGGACCCCGGGGACCTCGCTGGGGCCCAC